CCTACCCATAAACCATAACTAATCGGCTAGAAGTACGTACAATGGGGTCTTGCTTATTAAAGGATTAGGCGAGCTTTCAATGGATTTAAAGGTGCATTTGTGTCTGAGAATTTATTGTAGAAATATTTCCAATCAAAATATGGGTTCAGAGCAAACGTATCGTCGGAGTCAGGCAAAGCAAAAAAACGGAAATTAAATGACACTATTTAACCAGATGGAGTGGGAAAGAAAGTAGCACCGTTTAATAAGCTAAGATAAAAATGTTGGCAACAGAAATATTCGTTTGGTAAATTTAAGAAGGTTGTTGAAAGCGCGCACTTGAAAGGTTCAAAAACCCTGCAACGAAACAGTTTCATATCAGCAATTTTATTCTCGAATCGGCCATTTCTCAAGTACGATTTGAAGTAGTGTAACGACCTTTCTCTTTAACACATTGTTGAAATTAGTTTTTAATAAATACGGCGACAAGCTGTCTGCTCGCGTTGATATGGGTTTGTAATTAGTTTTTCATTGACTGCCCGGGCTTAGAAATAACACAAACGAAATCAACTCTAATTTCCCGCCAGAATTCCTTCTGATATTCTTTCGCTTACACTTAGTTAAATAACTGTTCCGGAAGAACTTGTTTATAAAAGCAATTTATTCATCCGATTAGTGACTGCATTTACGCATGTTTAGATCGAAGTAACTTAACTATATTCACCTAGAACTTATGTTTACTAAATTATTATTTGCTAATGGGAAAACCCTCTGTTTGGGCTAATTCGCTTGATCAAAGAACGTCCGTCTTCTTCAGGTGCCATAAAATGTTTTATCATATTGTTCTCTTCACTGCAGCTTTGGAAGCGACTGAACGTCGCTTATTCCCGTCCGTTCCGGAGCCAACATAATTTTATCTGTCCAATGCCTGCTTTCCACCTTCTATCTTCTGCTGTTCATGTGCTTCTATCCACGCTCAATGAGTCCCATGTAGGAAATATTTTGTTTTTTAATGTTTCCAGAGTTCTCGATCTTCCAATCCTTCCATCCTAAGCACATCATCATTTCTGGCACGGTCCGTCCATGATATTTCAACCATCCAGATGTGGAATCCACTGTTCGATTGATAGATAGTCGTGGCTTTAAGCGTCCACCTTAGGAAAACCGACCAGACACTTAACCATTCTGTGTCTGAGCTCGAAATTTAGATTCCGCTTGGTGAGGAATTTTCTTTACTTTAGAAAAGTTGCTCTTGCTTTTTCCATTCTGCACCTTTCACGTTCCGGTATCATCTGCATAGCTTGTACTATTTATCGGAAAACCATTAACTTTCCGAATGGGCTTCTCGAGGACAGAAAACATCCCTGTCTGACCATCCTCCTTACTTCGAGTTCCTCATGTTGTTCAGCTTTGTAATCGTACCTCAGCTAGTGCCAATATAAATTAGCACAAATAGCGTTACTAAGAAGCAATTTTGTATGTTTGCCTCGAAGGAAGAACCAAAGCGTTTATTTAGATTTCGCAATTAGCAAGTGAAATAGCCAAATGCCGAGGACTTTTTTTCCAATTAATTAGACCACTTTAAACTGGCGCTCCTGCTAATGCGAATATTATTAATCGAATCTAAAACAGGTGTTAAATACATAGTGAAAGTTCTTATTGTGCTGGCTCGTCCAAAGATAAAATTTATCCATCATGCTGATTTGAAACTGTTTTGTACACTTTTATGATCTCTCTTTGTGGACTGTTGGATTACAAACTGTTTTAAGTTACCGTCGGTTCTGGTATGGGAGTTGAGATGTTTTTCCAGTGAATATCTCAGATTTGGACGAATTTTTAGATAAGCAGATTGACTAATACTTGTGAACTGAGAAGGATATGAATAAATCAAAAGGACATTAACGACTGATAAACTAATGAGAAGCATGGAAAAGTGTGAATTTTTTATCGGCATTGGTTGGAAACAGCTGATTATTTTAGTGCTAATGAACCAAGAAAAACTAGGCAAATTTTGCACTAAGCTAATTAAGCATTTTTGATAATTTCTGTCTTGATTTTCTCGCCAGAACTTTAACTGAATCTGAAGCTATGTCATCCTTCTAAAGGTTGTTCTTAATCGATTTCAACGAATTGAATTGAAATAATTGTTCAAATAGTGATAGCCTTGCCAGTGTTGCTTTTAAATACGGCGTCAAATCAAATAAAAATTGAATAATAGCAAAAATTATTGTGAAATTAACAGAAAATAATAATCAATACTTACACAATAACAGCAAAATAATTTAAAAGTTTTCGAAAATAAAAAATTTCAATTATTTTGTAATTCAAAATATGAGGACAAACACAATTATTAATAATGAACTAATAATTCTTCGCAAGAATCAAGTAACGTTAGTGTTTACACATCAACTTATTTCAGGACTCTCCCAATGGATATTGGAAAAATAGTAGTTAAAGTATTTATTTACCACTTGAGAGATATCCCTGTTTTATAAAATGTGAATGCAAAATTATATTTTTTAATTAAATTCGCCTATAATTTCCAGCTAAAAGTTAATAAATATTTGCAGAAATAGTCTCACCAATTTGGGTAATCTAGAAGAGAATGAAAAAAATCTGCAACCAATTACATCTCAAATATATCAAACCCTGTTTCATTTATACCCCACTTGTTCAAAGCTTTGATTCCTAATTTTATGTTTTCTCGCTTAAAGTGAATCTTTGGCATTTTAGACGTTTAAAAAGGTTCAATTTTCTCATCAGATTTAAGGGCTACGGGGACAGATTTAATGCGGTTCAAACGGAATTTTGGTCTTGCAGAACATCTTCTTGCTTACATTGTCTTGGACTTGACTCTTGTGTTTTTGCGAGTCCAAGACCAGTCTTGCTCATCACTAATTTCAAAGATCAATCGGAGAATAAAAACCAACCGGAGAAAAACTGTGCAAACCCAGTTTTGCCCTTGAAACTCTGTTGTAAACCGTAAGCCATTTAACAATTTGATAGTTTAACAACCTTTAACTATATTTAAATTGTTCTTATGTCATAACTGTAATGGATTTTTAATAAATCCGACGACAGGCTGTCTGTTAGATTTGTGATACGTTAAGTAGTTCACTTTCTAATGACTGTAGCCTATATTTAAGTTTACACGCGGGATTTTCGCATCTGAATGAGTCAGTTTTTTTTGCGCACTCTGGTGCGTTGTTGCGAATAGAAAAATCGCTTCTGATCCAGCGACGTTATCTTAAGAGACAATGCACAAATCTGAAGTTAAATAAAATCTTATATAAACAGTTAGTTCAACAAGTCCGATTAAATTGTTGTAAAACTAGCTAATGGCTATTCAAGTAATAGTCTTTGACCTTAGAAATATCATTAGCACGTATAAGGTAGTGCTATAAATAGTATTTGTTAAATATAGCTATTGCTAGTCGAATGCTTCAAAGGCACTTTCAGTGGATGTGTTAATTATGAAATTACTGCTTCGGTTTTACCAAGCCAATTATTTATAACTTTGGTGTTACATTGAAATATTTCCATTAACAATTTTGGCAATTTTTCCAAAATCTCCCTATATGAACTACGACACACCATTCTGCCGAAATAAACCAACTTTTTCGACAGTGTTGGATTTTCCTTCGTAGTAACCGTAGTCATTATCACTTAAGTAAGGCGAGTTTCGATGTGCGGCAACGTCGAGTGACTTAAACAAATTAATAGAACAAAACATTATAGCCTTGTGAAATATGTATGATGGGGATTAAAGGAGATTAAGAAAGGTTATTTTTAGACAATCCAGTTATGTTTTATGGAACCTTTTCTGAACTTGTTCAGACCAAAGTGAACGTTCAATTAATATGCGGTCATTTACGTCTATTTAAGGAATTTGCCAATTGATTTTGTAAATAAGTCGAAGGTAGTACTGAAGGTTTGGAAAAGAGAAACAGAAGAAGTAGAGCAGTGCAACAAACCCAGGAGTCTGGAATTCATACAATTGTTGTTGTTTTTTGAGAACTGTTCAATAAATTTTCCTATTATGTCCTGACTTTTTTCTAAGTATGTATTCAACACCCAAAAGCTCCCATCTGCCTACCACCAAACACAAAGCAAACCAGATTTCTACCTTCTATTTTTAGAGATTCCAGACACCAGTGGATAGATTTATTATCTTAATTGCTATATTGTTTTAATGAGTCTACAAAAATAATTAAGCTTTGTCACTAAATAAATTAATCATCGATTAACATCAATCATTGAAAACTTCTAAGTATGCTGATGGTTTTAATGCACCACAAGAAAGAACAACACCGATATCGTCAGGCCATAATTAATTTTATCGATTGAGAGTCAAGGCTGAAAAAATCTATTAAAATCGGTATCAATTAATGTTCTTTTAATGCAGGTATTATTGGTGTGTTTTATTTAACGGGAAGGAAATAGAAAACAGTCATATTGAAGTGGTGGCGTTTTGGAGGTTTTATGCCGCCGTCTAAAAGAATTTCATGCAGACGTTTTGCAAGCATGAATGTCTTGCATCTTCAGAGCTGGTTGTTTGCAAATGACAGAAAATAGTCGAGCTTTGTGTTTGAAAACGATTGGTAAAGTTCTAAAGCCAATACAATTAACTGAAAGTTATTGTCTATTTATACGCACCATAAATGACCTGCATTTGTTCACAGTTGCAGTTGGTAAATTATTACAGAAACCACTAGAAAGTGACTAAATTATCACATTTATGTAGTCGCTAAACGCTGTTGCTTATAAGGATGAAATTCACTTCTTTGTTCTTTGTGCGTTCTTGTATACAGAGTGAATGACCATCAGATATTATTTCGGTTCAAATGCGAAGCTGGAAAAACGTTGATAAACCCATATTCATACTCATGTCTCTGTTTGATTAATTTATTTTCGAAAATACACAATTTTCGACTTATTCCTTACCACATCAGCATGCAAATGTGATCATTTATATTACGCAGTTCGAAACGCAATAAAACGTAAATTTTGCTTGGTTTCAGGTGAGGCGACTACCAATTATTCTGCCGAAATTATTGCCAAACGGCCTGTAAGTATTAATCTGCTTTCATTGCCAGTGATTTACCCAGCGAAGTAAACAAAATTAATTCAATAGCTTTGAAAAGTCCGATTTTACTATGAAAGAACCGCGGGATTTAAGTTAGCTTTGAAACTCAAAAGCTTTAACTATGTACTGCGAAAACTTGCTTAGAAACCTATTGATAAATCTTGAAATTGTTTTCAGTGTAATTATTTATGTTAAACACCCTGGATTTGTTTTAAATGCGTTCACAATCAATCGCAATTAAACGTTTCCAGGCTGATCAAATGATGCCAAAATATCGCAAAGATCGTAAATCAGTTCCGCGCGGCTAAATCGCCAGTTTGCATAAAATATAAACAATCAAATTGGTCGAAATGTTGATTTCACAATAAAGACAACAAACAACTTTGGAATGTTTTGAAATTCGCTAAAATACCTGGTTAAATGCCAGCTTCAAAAACACACCGGTTGGAAATAGGCCAATAATTCGATAAAATAACGAATTTGAAACCATCATAAAAACTGAAAGTTTTCCAAGTGAATGACTGAATGTTTGTAGTTTTTTCTCATGAGTTTTTTGCTTGAAAATATTAAAGAATTATACATCTTTTGGAACCTACTGTTATCTCATTTTAATTAAAGTTAATCTAAGAAAAGTACCTCTAATAAAAATTTAAATTTTCCAATACGAATCACTTCAAGGCATCATTTAAACATCTCAACAAAATCAACGTTTCACTGCCAAATTTGGACCAACTTTGGAACTGGATAAATTCTGATTGCTGATCGCGATTTAGTTTCTGTTTGAAGCGTTACTTAATGCAATTTTTTTTTGGTTTGTGCGAGTATTTTCGAAAAATTAGTGCTTTGGATACGTTGTCTTCACGACGGGGCCCAAAATAATGGAAAATTTGGTGAAAGTTTCACATGCTCTCACTTGGACAAAAAAAGTCTTTTGGCATTTTACCACCACAGGCATTAAGATAGATCTCGCATTGCGAAAAAAATTTTGATTTTTTCGCTCTCTCTAAAAAATCAACTTTTTGGTCTTGCAGTGATCAGTTTTTTTCTTTTGAATCGATTAGCAACATCTAAGGCTCGTTGTAAAGCTAGAACTTCAGAGTCGATTTTTGAAAAAAATCAGTATACCGGGTTGCATGAATGAAAGTTGAAAATCTTTCAGAATCGCAGATTTCGGAGGCAATTCTGATTTGAGTCATTTTCTTGCAACCCTATATGTATATCGAATTTATGTCTTATATTATCTTTTTCTAAGTTTTTGTTTCAACATGAGCACAAGATCATTAAAATTGATCAAAGAGCAGGAAAGTTATGACCGCAAGATCAAAGAGTTGACTTTGAGATCACCCTATACGCAAAAGAGATTTTTGTTGTTTATAGGGTTTTTTTTTGTCAAAAATGTCCATAAATGCATAAACTGTTTCAAAATATTTGGTCATACTTTTGGTGTTGAGATCGAAAAAGCTTAATTTTTGTCCATTTAGAAGCAGTTGAAACTTTCCAAAATTTTGCATTTTTTTATTTAACGCCCTGTAGAACATTTGTGCGAAATGCTTAATTTTTGTTAAAACACTGATTAACAAAAAACAAATCGGTTTAGATAAGGCTTCAAACAGAAAGCTAATATCCCTAACCAATCAGAATTGATACAATTCCAAAGTTATGGCAAACTTGCCCATTGAACGCTCATTTTGTTGAGCAGTTGATTTTATTGTACCTGCACATGCAACTAGTTTTGTAACGATTTTTTCGTTGGGAACATAAACTGAATGGTAAACTGCGTGGCAGCAAACAGGAAGAAAATTAGAAGCAAATTTTATTGATTTAAACAAACTACGTCATGAGTAAACTTTAAATGCAAGTTAGACTTAAAAATCAACCGAAATAAACATTTTTAAAATAGAAACCGAATAATTCCGTTTTATCACCCATGCAAACTACATGGCTTCCATTATTTAAGAACCAGCGAAAACTAGAATAATAATTATCGTGTAGTCAACTAAGTTATCAATAATAGCAAAGTTACCTACTCCGAACAGGTTTCGTGTTTGCAATAATTCGAATACCGGAGAAGTTTTTTTCAAATGCGCAATAAACTGCATGCTTGTCTTGTTGCAGTTCACGGTAGCAACATAATAAATTGTTCAATTTTCAACGTCGATCTACACAAAATTTGTTTAATGCATACATTAATTCTATTTATAGTCCACGATTTTGTTTATCAGCTCAACAGATCCGTCTAAAAATAAAAACACATTCACTTTGAACAAGCAGCCACAATTATATCGAACATAACTTCAATTCAATCTATTTATTCATTGTTGTTCTCGGCATATTTGATTAGTCCACTTTTATTAAATTGTTGTAGATAGGAAAGGAAAAAAACGAACGGTGAAGATGTGAGCCACTCGTGCTTGCGAAACGCCAGGAAGAAATAATTTTCCATGGGATAATCCTCAACTAACATGTTTCATTGAATTTATTTAGAGCGTGGAATCAAAGCGCTGTATAATTTCTCAGACCCTATGTGAAAATGGAGCAACAAAATGAACTGAACTGCCATCTGGGACACTAATTATTAAAATTGCAAAAATTGTTATAAGGAAAACCATATAAAACTGTGATAAATGTGCAACAAAATTGTGCTTGAGGCCGATTAGCTAATAATTCTGGCAACTCGTGGAAGATGGTCGATTTTTTCGAACTCGAAAGAGTCAGCATCAAAAACGCCAGATCTTCAAGAATATGTTTTTTAATTGCGCAATCCTAATAAATATCTTCGATTTTAACAGTCAATTCCAGTTAATCGATTTAATGTGCAATTAAGACATCTGAGTGCATCCAATTAATTTATCTTATCTCATTAGGGACCCTTTCTAGTTGATTGGTGAGGAAGTGCCTTGGCTCAACATGCAAGTTTACGACTTCCAGACATTGATTATCAGCTACTAGGCTAACTTGTTATACCATAAAGCAGGTCAAGATGTATACGAAGTCCAAACAACTAGACGATGCAACTTTGCATATTTATGTTCCCAAGCATGACGATTTTTAGACTATAACACTAATAAAGCTGGTTAAAATCTGCTGATATTCACGTTTGATGTTTTGGTGAATATAATCAGACGGCGTTCCCATTCCATTTTTTCTATTCTTCACCACTTGCGTTACAATCAGGTGACTAAGTAAATTATCTCCTTTCGTTCTCAAGTGGTTAGCACTTCATTAATTGCTCGTTATGTAACGGTGTAACCCCCTTCAGTGTGGAAAGAATTGATTTTTTTTGCTAATGGTTTTATGGGAGTTATCAGGATAAATTCCATCGGTCAATATAGCGATAAGAGCAGCTAATTAAAACATGAGATTGAACCCAAGCAACTGAATGCAGAATATCTGGAAAGAAACGCTTGTGTGTTAATACAATATTTTTCAATAGAAATATGATTATTTCTATTTTCATAAAGATTTAAAATCTCGCGTTGGCAAGTGCAATAGAAATACTAATCAGTCGGCAATCAGTTTGTGATTCATAGGCGATCAGTATATGCAAAGTGGTAGTTATCCGACATTTGACCCCTAAATATATTATGCTGGCTAAATTGAGTGCATTTTACGCCAGAGGAAAATCTTGATTGGCGGAATGAATGTATTTAGAGTACCTTGAATGGATCGGAACAAGGCAAGAACAGTTTTGCATTTCTTCGTGTTGGATGTATTCTTGGAATGGAGTGGTTTATTTCATCACATCATAGCAAGAAAGCTGAAGGATTGTAAGCGAAGCCGAAGACCATATTTTGCAATATCGCTTGGTTTTTTAAAGACTGGAATTTTGTGAAACTCAAATTAAATTTTGCATTTCAGACTCGTGGTTTTATCTACAAGTTCATATTTTCAATTTAATCGGGCACACTAATTTGCACAAAATATTGTAGAACTTTAATCTTCTAAACATATTTTTAATTTGATTTGTGTCTACTATTCTCAATATTTCAATCGTTCTAAACGAAGATTGGATTTTCCTAGATTTTTCTATTGAGAAAAGCAAAAGTTCCTCAAGCTTTGGGAAAACTGGCAGAAGACAAAATTTTCGAGCACGAAACATTCAAAGTAGAAATTTAGGAAATCAGATTTTACTCTTACAAATTGAGCTCTGCGGCTTTTTAATTTAGACGTCAAAAGTTTTACATAAATCACAACTCGAGTTCGAACTTGACAGATGAAGAACTTTTAGATGAAACTTTAGTTATTTGCTTAATTTTGCAATAAAACCCTTCTTAAAAAATTGCGCTTAAACTGTCCACTGTGGACTCAAAAATGTAGCTTTTAAATTGAGTTTTTGACTTCGACTTGTGGCCGCGACATTGGCTTCAACCCGAACTCAACATTTCAATATTCACAGATTGGATTTTATAGAAAAATTCTATTTTTCTAACAGTAACTGAAAAATATGCAAAATATTTCATTTTAAACGGAAAATGCTAAGTGGAATTGCGGACTTCAAAACACATAAAAATGTGGCAACTCTTCTCAAGAAATCAGTCGTTCTAGACCAAGATTGAATTTTTTTAAGACTTGCTATTCAGATTCAAAAATTTAGAAATCAGATTTCGCTTTACAAACTGAGTCCTGTTTCTTCGGATCAAGCTCTAAATCCTGACTTAATTTAGACTACAAAATTTTAGAATAAATTACGATGCGTGTTCGAACTGGAAACAGATGAAACTTCATTCCAAATTCGCCTGAAAGCAGGCAATCCAAGTTTAATCTACCAAAAAGATGATAGCTTAACTGACAAAAGAAGTGCATTGACTCATTCTAGAAGCTTTTTGATTGATGTTTCCAATTTAATCTAACACACTTACTTTAATGTTATTTGCCTATTTTGACCGTAAGAAATCACACTTAAAATATCCATTTGCCACTCAAAAATCTAGCTTTTGAATTAAATTTTGGACCTCGACTTCAACTCAAACTCAACATTTCAG